TTTGTAATCTAGGCTGAATATTACCTAATCCACAACGACCAGGAATGCTATATTTGTTGCAAAGATCTCAAAAAGTGTAACGGTGATTGATTAAGCAACTTATAAAAAAATCGAAGAGATTTCATGTGGATATGCGTCTCTAAGAGGCAAGAAACACTCGGTACAATCCTCGCAGTTACTCATATTATTCAAAAGGGACTAGCCAAAGATATCTCTTACAAGATGTCTTACAGATGTCTTCTAGACTCCCGCCCAAAATTAATAGGGTATTAAAAAAAATTAAGTTTATGACAAAAATCCTGTATGTAAATTAATATATTTTATAAATGCAATCGCAGGTCCAAAAAACGTACAGGAACGACAATGATTGATATCCATTAGTCAACAACTCAGTATATCCGTTTTACTTCGCTTAAACTGGTTTTTTACGCCATTTTATTTGTGAACATTAAATTAATTCATTTTTAAAATAGATGACGGATGCTCATATGAGAAGGGGAAAAAATGAGTACTTTTTCCTTAGACGGCACGGGATGAAAAACCTATCCCTTCCGCTAAAGGAGAGCTTCTCAAAAGAGTGATAGTAATCATTCCATAGCTAAAATCTCTGGATAGAGCCGTAAGTGGTCATTTTTTGAAAAAGTCTTTTTGTAGCGCCATGACATTCACCATGGAATCACGCTTCACATAAGCCACGCGTTTGTTTCATCTTGGTTATATTTCGCTGGGCAAAACTCCTTCCTTAGACTGCTAGCACACCTTCAATAGCACAAAACTCAAAAAACTCAAAAATATATCTTTTTTAGAACAAGCGCTTTTGATAGAGATGTAAGAAAAAAATTTGTGTTTTACTCCTCGCCGGATAGGCTCTCTCTTTGAACCATTAGCATTTATACGAATTGTAATTTTCAATGATTCCAGCGCTGTGCTCAATTTCTAAAAAGACCGTTTCATTGAAGTGTAGCAAAGAGAATGAGATCAAGTTCCACATATTTGAGGTGCTTGGTTACCGGCTACTCTACGGCCTGGGGGCGGGCGATCGAACGATGACCTGACTCGTTAGTCATGTGATGTCCATCTTGCTGTTCAATTGATAATTTTTTCTTCGTTCTAGAAGAAACTGCAGATGAAACAATTGACTGAAACACCACGATATTCCCTTCACACGTTCCAACGCTTTTCGTAGTTCCAGCGAATTATGCATGTAATAAAAATCAAGGCACGCGGCCGGTCTGAAACAATTTTGTTTTGTATGCTACGGTGTTAAAAGACTTTTTCAGAAACCGGCAACGTACGACTCTAGCCAGAGATTTAAGCTTTTGAATGGTTACTAACAATCTCATGAACAACTGTTCTCCAGCGAAAGAGATCAGTTTTTCATTCCGTGCTATCTAATGGAAAAGAAGCGAAAAATGATCTTGCGCAGGCTATTCGTAAATCTTATAAGATCTCTTACCTAGTTTGCATAATTTCATAACCACGACACACACACGTTTTATTTATTTAAATAAATATCGGTTAGAGTCAAGTATAACACTGCATTTGATGCCTTTATTAGCCAGGCTTAACAAATTATTTAGAATGGCACGCTATGACATTAAGAAACAAAACATCACACAATTGCTTATTCTGAGTCTCATCAGCGCTTTTCGATTTTTTATCAGAGCTCTATAGACGCTTGAAAATTAATCGCAGGGAATGTTCACTCTGCTTCTGATCAACGGCAAAAGGTGAACGATGTCACAATTGGTCATTATGGAGCTTCATCGTTACTACATAAACGATGACATTCACAGTTAAATTTAACTGTTTCGCGTTTTTTGAAAGAGCAGGATTTCTTAAAGAGGCTAGCCGAGGTATAAAGCAGGACCCGTTGAGGTCAGTTGACCTTGAGCTTCTGAGGCGGCCTTAAGTCGACAACTAGAGAATATCTCGCTTATCATTGGCTCTCTGTACAATGGATCTCGTCTTTGATGCTATAGTTCTCTTCTTTATACTGAGACGAAAGAGAATGCATAGTTGGCCATGATTAAACAAGAAGTAAAAAGGACGAGAAAATTATAATTGGCAAGTTTTTGTGATATATAGATTTGTATCAGGACAATTGGAACAAGCCACGTAACTACATAACAGGACTGTAGTATTCTAACTTTTGTTTACACCTATTCTATTTTCATACAAAGTACAATGTGAAATATAAGGACAAGAACGCTCAAATACGAGATAACTCTCAGGGGTGGGGAGGTGAGGGGGGGTAACCTCGTATGTAACTTTTTCAGAGTGTCACGCATTATGTCCTTTAACACGTAGCATCCTTGCTTTGGTTTTTCCCTTATCTTCATCCAAGTAAATGATTCAACTATTCTGGACAGTTGCGCCAAGATATGATGCACGTAAATTTGTCTCCCCGTGGTCACGTGCGCCACATATAAGCCATTCACGCTATATGAAATTTATGTTTCTCAAAGTAGTGTGTTTTTTTTTTCACTTTCCCATCAGTAATCATTTTTTCAAATCGAGAACTGACACATATACATATCAGATATAAAACGAAACTAAAGACAATGTCGTGTCTTAACAATCAAAATGCAACACATTGCATCACAAGAAACGCGAACTAGAATGCAAAAGACAGCAAACGTAATCGTATGAAAAGAAGACAAATGAAAAAGTGTACTAGGGTTTGCCTAACTCATTAAAGCGGGCAATCTATGGCTCAAATTTCCAAGTGTACAAGATACTTGATTTTTGTTAGAATTATGAAGATAATCGATGCGAAGTTGACAACGTCTGCTGCAGAAAGAAGAGTACGCGATGATGCTGTTATTAATGACGCCCCACCATGAATAAGTATGCATTGGCTCGTGTCAAAAGTTAGCCAGGCACTTCAATATTCTTAGCTTGGAAAAGTGGTATCCAAATAGATAAGGGGCTATACCCTCGGATGGTGGTAAGCTTCCGTAAATGTAGTTCATGCATACAATTGTGCGGTCTGCGACTTCAGATAGTTTCAAATACCGACATATGATCGGCGAACTCTGGTCGCTTAATTCTCTTACCTTTTGCATCAATAGAAAGCGCAAATACTGTTATCAATATGCATCTTTTAGACTGTAATCACTAAGCGTCTGCACATAAAATTCCCTCAAACTATAGCAAGCAAAGAGCTCACTACAAAAAAAAAAATATCGCCATGCGACACAGACAAAGCATCTAGCAAAAAGAAAATGCAATAGAGGTGTTTCACACCTCACCTTGTTAAAATGCATGTAAAGTGATAGACATAGATGTGTTCGAGGCAATGGTGATGTGACAGTTGACACACATATTCTAAGGCAGCACGCCAACTAAAGCGAATAGTCTCCTTACCAGCCAGCCGCGAGTTAGTCTCACCTCAAATTGTGAGGTTCTCAATTTGATCGCTTGGAATTATCCCTCAATGGACGAAAGATTTCAAAATCCTATCACATTTCTGCTGATTTAATTTTTTAAGCAATTCCATGGAAACATTGATGCCTTGCCAAGATCTGATTTTCTATGAAAATTGCCTTAAACATGAAGTTGTCGTGTCCGCCTTGCTCAGCGGCATGTGAATTGGGCAAAGACCACCTTACTCGCACGTGCGGACTCAACTTATTTTACCTGCTGCGTTACGAAGAAACGGTCTTTTTAGGGTAGAAGTACAGAACTGGAATCAGCAAACATTACGCTATCCAATGATCAGTGATAGTATAGAAAAGAGTCTGATATGCGTCTCATTTCCCCTTCCGTATCAACGTAAAAAAAGACTATTTCAGAAACCCTTTCGAATGAATATTAACACTTCAATGAAAAGTTTTTGTCCAGCGAATGAGATAGGTTTTTCATTTGTTGCCTCATAACGGACAAGAACCACGTTATGTACTCCAGCCTCCAGTTTTCGAAGTGACGTATCAGATTTTAGCGCAGAAAATTTGGATCCGCTTTGTTTCTGTTGCCTTTTGTCTTGACGTGAGACCAAAGAGAGTGAAAATTTCTAATTTCCATCATATTGGGAATAATATTACCAACAAAAATGGAAGAGGTAAGAGAAAAGAGGACCACTAATAACCATGACCATGTTATAGGTGGTAAATATCGATGTTTCAAGTGCTTCAATGTTGCACCTAAGTCTGTTTGTGAGCTGCTTTTTTTCTAGTGCCATTATTCGTCTGTCCATAAGACGTACCATAAGACGTATTGGGTTCTTTTCTCCGTCGACCTCACTAGAAATGCTATTTATTGAGGTGACTTCACTGCAGTTAACCCTTCGACGACCACCGTCGATAGGTGGGCGGTATCGCGCCGTCGCTTGAACGGCAATCTTGGGGCGGGGCATTTGCGTCTCTGTGCAGGAATTTTGTGCTTCCTGCGTCTCCGTTGCCACGAGCACCTTCGTTCTCACAATACGAGACGCCGCCATTACAGTAGCTGAGAAGATTTGACGTCGCACGGTGGGGCACGAAACGTCTCACATGGTCCTCGTAGGGTTAATTTGAGATGTGGATCTCACATTATGGCGCTTCTGGCGCACTTATTAGAGATGCCTGTCGCAACATACACGTGATCAATGGTTCGACCTCGACCACTCATTGCCAGAACTTCCAGAGAATTCTTGCGAAGCCTGAAAATGAGACAGTCAGGAATACACGGACCGCATGATTACGGGGTGCGCTTGAGCAGGTAGGCTACCACGCCCCATCGATAAACGCTGCTCTGTCGTCAATTTTCTTTTTACAGCGAAAGACCAGTGGGCCATGTGGAAGTTCCTCTTTCTCTCTTCTCCTCCTTTCCTCCTTTCCTCCTTTCCTCATCTCCTCCTTTCCTCCTCTCCTCCTTTCCTGTTCCTCTCTTTTTTTCTCTTTCTATCGGAACTATGGCTTACTCTTTTTTGTGGGAGGACTTTTATTGCTTATTGTTATGTCTAATCTTGCTTTTGTTAATTCCGAAATATTTGAGCATGTTGAGTCGTGGAATTTTTGAGCCTCAGGCGGGAATCCAACCCACGTCTCACTCTTTCGGGAAGCGAGTGCTAACCACTACGCCACCGACGAAGGCCGTTGTTCGTATTTCACTGTTCAACAGTTTGACTTCTGAAGACCCAACCTGCGCGTGTATTACGGTGTTACTGTATGAGATAGGAAATAATTTGGTGTGCCAGTGATTCGAGCACATTTCAGTGAGAACAAAAGGATAACACCAAGAAGTACTCATATATTAGACGGCGACAAATCTATAAACCAAACATCTCATTCGCTGGATAGGGGAACTTTTCGTAGGAGGGTTAATAACCATTCGAAAGCCTAAGTCTCTGGCTATAGCACTCCATGGTTAGTTTCTCAAAACACTTTTTTATAGCATAGAAAAATTCGAAATAAAACTCTGTTTCCAACGACCACGTGTTTTTTCTTTCTTATCTCGCTTAAAGCGCATATGGTGCAGTGGTTAGAGGTGCCCTGCGTCGCACACGAGGTCAATCGTTCGATCTCGCGCTCATGGCTCACCAAGCCATCCATCCCTCCGGGGTCGATAAATTGGTACCAGACAGGTCTCAGACTTGTCTAGGAGGATAAGCAGCGCTGACTCGGTTCAGTGGGAGCCACCGCGAGTCATTGCACAGGCCAGATATGCATTCAATCGCCTCAAACGAACTTAAAAATTGAAGTCGAATCATGGCGCATCCCTTAGGGATTGGGCAATGCCGACAGCTTTATCCTTTTTATCTCGCTTATATTGCGCTGGACAAAATTTCTTCCTGGGACTGCTAGTACTCATTTGATAGCACAAGTTTCTGAGAGAGCAAAAAGATTTGTGCTTCAAACCTTGCCGGACAGAGCTCTTTCTTTACACGACTAGAAGTCGTTCGATATCGTAAGTACCTTTGAGTCCAAAGTAGTGCTTATTTTCTGGAAATACCGCTTAGCAGGAAAATCGATCGAGTTCCAGATTTTCGACGGCACCTTGTTTACTGGCTAATTCACGGAGCGGTGGGGGGGGGGGGGTGGATTGATCGCGTTTGAAATATTGTCATTCATTATATTCTTTTTATTTGACCGCCACTTGCGGTGGTCTGATGTTACAGTATACCCAATAATGTGGAGTACTGTGCAAAAACATTTGCGTCAACCGGGATTCGAACCCAGATTCGGTGGTGCAACGGTTAGCATACGCTCTCGGAAAGAGTGAGATCTGAGTTCGAATACCGGCTGACGCAAATGTTTTTGCACAGCGCTCCACATTATTGGATATATTGTCATTCAATTGGGGGTTTTTCACGGCATCAACAGAAGCTTTTGATAAACGCGTATGATTGTGTACTACGGAAAATTCTCTACACGCTCATATGCTTTTCGCGCCTCCAGCGAATTATACGTGTGATAAAAATAAAGGCGAAAGGCGAGTGTGAAACACAATTTTATTCTGGATTTTACAACGTTATAAAAAGGTCTTTTCAAAATCGGCAACATTGGGGTGTAGCCAGACATTTAAGCTTTTGAATGCTTACTAACACTTCTATGAAAAGTCCCTGTGCAGCGGTTAAGATCGGTCTAGAAATTTGTTGCCGTCTAACATGTGAAGTGATGTAGGAGACGAACCAGCAACCATCTTCCCGTGGACGGTGGCTGAGAGGAGGTGGAGCCGTTCTCACGCTGAGGGTGAGAACCTTTGCCAGATAGGCACGCCCAGGTTGGGTCCTCGGAAGTCGAACGGTCAGGGTATCAAACCGCCAATAGCTCACCATCAGTGGGTACGGTATGGTATGCTCTTAGTGGCACAAAGCCCACTTATGCTGACGTCTTTGGGTACCCAGTATTGTCGAGTGACATGCAAAACTCAACATCGGACGGGTTCCGAGCCCACATCGCACCCTTTCCGGAGGTGCGTAATTTTGTCATAGAAAAGAGTGATAGTCGAACAACGAACGCCGATAGTGCAGTGGTTAGCACACGCTTCCGGAAAGGGTGGAATGCGGGTTCGCATTCCGTTCGACGTTCAAGATTTTACATGTCACTCAGTAATATCGGACTTATATCTCTAACATCATGCTACCGCTAAAAGCGGTCAAGGGAATGAATTCCAGCTTTAGGGTATGTCTGGCCCACAAAACCTATGGTTCTACTACTTTTTAAGCAATATTATAGCGTTATAATTGTATACGAAAGAATCCTCAATCATATGCAAAGCTCTGACTCTCTAACGGGAGTTGAACCCGTGTCTAATCCCTTCTAGGCGATGCGTGCTAACCACTGCACTATTGAGGCTTTTGCTTCACTACCAATCTTTGTGCGATGTAATGTCTTATAACTCTCATGAGAGGTTTTCTATTGCATCCATGAGATATAAAGTTTTTTAGCATGTTTTTCAGCATGAAAAAGGGATTGAAGCGAGTATTCAATGCGATCGGAAAACGAACGAAAGATGCGAGATTTCAACAGAAAGCGATAAATAAGATGGAGGATATTGAGCAAGGTGAAAAGATTCTGGCACCCAAACTTCCAACCGAAGAGAAACGATTCCAAGCGTCGCTGAAAGACGACAAAGTAAAGGAGGTTAGGTTTCTTTCTATCAGTCTATATATTTTCTATTCTTATTTATCATCTATTCTAAGTAATTAAGAAGTCTTATTTCGCCCAACGATGCGCGAAACTTTTGCTCCAGGCAGGACTCGAACCCGCATTTCGCCTTATTCGGGTGGGCGTGCTCTAAGCCCTTTTACTACCGAGGCCTGTTTTGCCATCACGTTTTCTACGCTACAACGCATCAATCTATCAGCAACTAACCGTGAACGACTTGATCTAGCTGTCGTTATCGGCGATGAACCCAGTTACGCTGACAGATATTGTATACATATGTGAAAAAGGGTTGCGTGCTAAGAGGTTGATGCGTTGTAACGTAGAAAGAGTGGTGGCAAAACGGGTGTCGGTAGTGCAACGGGTTGGAGCACGCGCTCATGAATACGGTGATATGTGGGTTCGGCTCCTGCCTGACGCAAGTGTTTTGCACATCACTCAACATCATTGGGTGCATCTATAGCATCAGATCACCACTAAAAGCGGTTAAATAAAAAGAATGAGCAACATTGGATCGATACAGCAGTAGTCCATCGCGGGTCATTGTAAAGGCCAGATATGCGTTTAGTCACCTCAAATGAAGCAGGAAAAAATCGAAGACGAATGCATGGCGCATCCCTGAGTTGATGATCAACATCAAGAGCTCTATCCTTTATCCTTTGTCTCAGCGCGATATGCCTTCACTTGCTTAATGGAATTCATGTTAAATGAGAACTCTTCCGAGAAATATTAGTCCTTGCTTTTCTGGAAGTGGTAGCCATTTTGAGACGGTGTGTGTCATACTTTATACACGATTTTCCAGTGACCTGTTTTGTGGGACACAAATTTTCTCACTGAAGTTTTTAGTAATCATTGGATAGCTTGGGAAACGTTGACTTTTTTGCCGTGGTTTCCTTATATAAAAGTTTTAATGGGCTATAGCAACCAAGAGTAAGTTAAATTTCACCATTGGCGCGCATTTTTGCTGGTCTAAAGTCTGCAAATCACTCTTTATTAGACTTTTTAGAGTCATTTGATAGCTTGGAAAGGCGATGAATCTGACAGCAGGCTTGCTTTCTTGAAAGGTCTCCTTAGTGCATTGTAGCAATAAAATAAGAGCAGCCTATCCACTAATTATACCATTTCTATAATTAGTACATTCACTTTGTACTTACTATTTTTACTACTTCGCCTTTACTACTAACCATTTGTTTCCTGCCTATTCCTTTTCATAGTAGGATGCGAGGTATAGAAGTTAAACGTTCTTGGTACGATAGTCAAATACTATGAAAAAACACTGGCCACGAGTTTCAGGTACCCAGACACCTTTGCTGTCGAACCCCAGAAGTTTTAGAAAGGCCTAATCCTGTAGACTCATCTTGTTTCTTAGATCAAATGGATGTATTTTAGCTGTTGAGGGAGTCCAAGTCATTGTGCTCCAAGTCTATACTTACTTTTTTAATAATCAACTAAAGATCTTTCCTTTCATTGTAAAGCGACAAATAATATTCGAGCCCATTCGCTGGATAAGAATCTTTCACAGGAGTGTTAGTGATCATTGGAAAGCTCAAATCTTTGGCCAGCGTGGTACAGCTGGTGTTTTTTCACAAGTCCCTTTTATAACGCTGTAATATTCAAAATAGAATTATGTTTCACATCTGCTGTGCGATTCAGCTATCACTTCGCTGGAAGCATGAAGAGCACATGAACGTGTGAAGAAAATTTTCAGTATAAAAGTCATACCTTTGATGTGGAGTTTCTTTCGAAGCGGAAGAAAAATTCCTAATCAAATACTAAAATCGCACTTCTCCGAAGCGCCAATCGACTCATCGTAACCGGCCACCACATTGATACTGCGGCCACCAGACCCCCAAGCGTAAATTAGCCTATAGGCAAGCAAGCTGAATGTGTGAAAGTCTATTTTATCTTCCCTGCTACACTGCAGAGGAAAGCTCTCCGTAAAATATGCACGGCGTTGGAATCCTTGAATCCTATGCTATCAAATGATCACAAGTAGTCTAGAGAAAGAGCGGTGTGCCTGCGAGAAAAATAAGTGGGGAAACACAAAGGTTTTCCTTCTGTGACAACGTCAAAAAAAAGTTCCTTCAAAAACCGGCCATGTACTGCGCTAGCTAGAGATTTTAGCTTCTGAATGTTTACTACCTCTTTAAGAAGTTCTTGTCCGGCGAATGTGGTCGAACATTCTTCTGTCGCCTTATGAATGGACAAGTACTAAAATTCGTAAATGTTTCCTTGCTTTCAGCTCGTTCACAAGAAGGAAGACAGTTTGATAGAAAATATGAACAAAATCAAGATCACTTCCACGGAGCCGGTGGAGCGGTGGACTTCTACGAAGTACGTTAATCAAGATTTCTCATTTCTGTATTTATTTACCTATCAGCTATGGTCAAAATAGTCCTAACAGACTTAAGATTTTCAGTCGATTATTTCTAGAGACATATGTGATCTCTACCAAGCATAGAAGAACGTGCGGCGCAGTGGCTGGAAATTCCCAGCAACGTATACATGTGATCGAGTGTCAACCTGGCGCTTAAGGGGCTCACGAAGCCTTCATCGTTTCGGGCTTGGCAAACTCATACTACACTTGCCAGGGAGTATGCAGCAGTGACTTGATAAATATACAGCAAGTCATTGTAAAGCCAGATGCATTGAATCGCCGCAAACGATGCTTAGTGAAGTCAGATGCACGGTGAATCCCATAGAGGGTTGATCTGCGCCGAGAGCTTCATGATTTAGCTTCATCAGTCATGGATCAACGCGTCCTAATCGTCCAAAATGGGCTTTCTAGATTTTGTGCGGAAATCAGTAAGGAAGTGGCAGTCTGTGTAAACGCCAAACAATACTAGAGCAACTCGACTTAATTAATACATAGAATTCTAGGGATTTACCCACACGTGAATCCGAATGGTTGCATCGTAATGATCCTGTCTGGGAGTACGGATTCTATGAACCCGAAGAAGATCGGATTCCGAAAAATAAGCTGATGTTTCGCGAAGCTCTTGAGGTGAGTTCAGTTTTTCCAGCTGTTCATTTCCTGCCCAATATCTTCGCTGTATTTATAAAATTACATCAGATTAAACAAAAAATCTTTCGGTTAACGTTCGGTCGTTTCGGTGCTTCCTCAGAATCGCACCATTTCGAAGCGACTATCAAGCTTACAAATACACAAAATTATCTACTATTCATAGACAAAGAATCTGGATTCAAGTAGTTTTTCCAAAATATTTCCTTCCACTTAACTCATCAGCTACTTTGATACAGGTTCTGCGAGCTCGACAAGAATTTGAAGATGAACAAAAGCCATCAGCAACAGCAGAAGCCGCAGCTGCAGCAGCAAAGTTGAGGTGGAATTTAACACTAAGTACTCCTTAAGCGGCTAGGTAAAAGCGGTTTTTCTAAAACGAACCTCGGCCTCATTTTTATTGAGAAGCTCGAGACAATATAAGAGAATTATTTCTATTACTTTTGTTTCGATAGCTAAGCTGTCCAAGGTTTTAAGCTTTCATTTTTTGCATTAAAATACGGCACATCCATTTCGCTTTGTATCAAGCTAATAAAATCGGCTTCAAACCTTTCTTTTGTGCAAGTGGGGCTAATTGCTGATCGTTTTCTTATTATTCTCTTCCATTTTGGACATTGTCTCTAGTTTTCGTTCATATCAATTATCGTTTTGATATTTACTTTCTAGTTGTTTTATGTAATTCCAGGGAAGATGCCCGTGTTGTCTATGAAAACCACAAGGCTGTTGCACGAGTCGATAAGGAGAAGCTTGACGATATGTGGGAATATTTCCGACCATTTGTGAGGAAGGATTATCAGAAAGTGAGTTCAACATTCGTCAGTATCAATTTCTAAAAAGACACCAACCTCACGCAAGCTTAAAGAAGGAATATTTTTTGAGATACTCAGCTTGGAATGTTAAGCGGTAAGCAAAAAGCCGAGCTCAAGCGGGAGCTGAACCCGCATTTCTTTGTGGTAGAACGTTCGACAGCCGTTCTCACGCGAGTTCTGACAGATACGACACTTATATTGAGAAAAGAGTGTAGCAAAGCGATGGCCTTGATGGTATTATAGTGTCGGTCACGCCCGGGTAAGGGCGAAACGTGGGTCAAACTCCCGCCGGGATGGAATGTTCGCTCACCACTCAACTTGATGTTTTTTGTAGCTCAGATGCTGCTAAAACAATATAATGAAGAATCTGTATAGATTGTCTCTCGAGATGCTTTTCATTTTTTTTTACGTGCTGTGGTGTAATTATACCCTTTTTTTAACTTCAGTACGGGAGTTTGTTTTTACTTAACCTGATTTATATGATATCTTTATACGTTTTCCTTTATAGGTCGTATCAAGAGCCGAACTAGCCCAACTACAAGAAAAACTGCAAGGAATCTCTAAGGAGTTTAGTTTAATAGACGAAGCAAAGGATGGTTTTCGTAAAATTTTCCAACGAGACAGAGGAGCTCTTGAACAGTACGATAAGGTGTGCCTAGTTTACTAGCTTCTGCTCGACAGGAAATACTTGAAAATTTCCGCTTTTTGTTGTAGTGCTTTATGTGAAGGTCTTTTAGTTGGATTATGCTGAGCGCAAACAATTAGAAGAGGCTGTTTCTGAACAGCGGCGAAAAGAAAAGGAACGACTGGCTTCTCGATTGAAAAGCATCGAAGAGGTGGGTTGGGAAGTAGCTTATT